CTTATCGATGATGCTTTTCCATCTTACAATCAGTTTGTTAATGCCCTGACTAAAGAAACCACTTAGATTTGAAGCAAACAAAAACATGTCGATGCCCTCTTTAATACCTTCCACATTTGTATAAGTTTTCCCATTAAGATGGTGTTGCAGCGAACGAAACAGATGGTAATTTGATGGTGTCATATCTGGAGAATATGATGGGTGGGGAGAACTTCCCAACCCAACTCCATAATCTTGTGTTGCATCAAACGTGCCACACGTGGACGTCCATTGTCGTGGAGAGGAAGAGAACCTTTACGAGTGAAGGATGTTTCTGATGAAAGGCTTGATTTAAGCGTTCCAGTTGCTAACTATAGATGTCTGCATTGACAGTTCGCTGTAGATTTAGGAGTTCGAAATGAATTACTCGTTTGATGTCACTCCAAATGCAAAGCATCACTTTCTGCGGATGGAATCCAGGTTTTGTGGTCGGTAGTGGATTTTGTCTAGAACTGAGCCATTAATTTTTGTGTTTAATATTCGCATAGAGAATCCATTTTTCATCACCGGTGACAATTCTGTCCAAAGATGGTCCATGCGCCAGAAGAGACGAAGTAACGTTCACACGTTGGAAACGATGATCATCGGAGAGTTCATGAGGGACCCAAATGCCTTTTTTATTGGGTTTTCCCATATAACTTATAAGTTTAATTTTTTCATGAGTGACATGCAATTTCAGGGCCATTTCACGAGTGTGTTGCCTTGGGGTAGACTCAACAAGCGTTTTCAGAGCATCAATATCAATTCCAAGATGTCGGCCCCTGCCATCACAGTTTTTAAGGGTAAAGTCACCTGAACGAAATTTGCTGAACCATCATTGACACTTACGAACATTCAAAACATTTCCATAAACTTCTTTGATATTCTTTGTGGCTGCAAAGACGTTGTTTCTCTTCTTGTATTCAAGCAGCATTACATGCCAATGTGTGTCTCGTAGTGTGCCATCTCTATAAACTTTACACATTATATAGGCTAAACTAACGTAATGTTTAGGCTTTTCGTTTAACTAGTATACGTGATGTACGTTTTTGGGGGGATGGTTAATGAAAGTGTTCCAAAACGCGACATAAATTTCAAAAACAAACAGAAACAAGTAGTAAAGATTTCCTGATATTTATTTCACCTTAGTGTATATAGATGAATTTCTTTTGCACTGATTATCGCACAAAATTTTACTCCATCATTCTATGTATTGAAACAAAGATGTTTTCATTTTACTTTCAATAGAACATAGCGATTTTTGTTGACAAATATTTTTAAGAATGCTAACATTCGCAATATAATTTCTTTACATTTTTTAAAATAGAATCTCAAGACTAAGTCCTGTGCTATTTAAAACATAAAGTATTATGTTTGAGTACATTTCGTTATATTACCAAAACATACTTCCTACAAAATATAAAGCACATTTTAAATATAAAATTATATCTCGCATAGTTTTATAGATTAATGTATGTACATAAGGCTGAATAGGTTATATTAAAACGATTTTCAATATGCAAAGCAGCAAATAGCCCTACAACCACTATCGGAATAAAGTTGCGTTGGAACAGCGTATATCAAAACTACATTTTGATTGACATTGTTTGGCGTTTCATAGGTAGCGTTATGATATCTAAAATTGATCGCTTTTGGGGAGAGTATATATAACAGCTCTTTCTGACTCCAAATAGTCCTTTACTCAGATCAGAAAGATGAGTTGAGAGTGTAGATTTAGAATTTCCAAAATGTGGATATCTCTTGTACTTAATGTTACAAGCAAAAACAAGAGAATACAGATCAGTTATATAGATATCGCGTACAGATTTCTATGCGATCGTACTGTTGAAACGGGCTACGTAAACAGATAGATTATAGAGAGCACGTAGAGAGGGATGGTGTTCTTTGGAAACGACAGCTTATTATAACGTATTCAACTTATATATATAATTATATTATGTCGTGCAATCTACCAATACCCAAAACAATAGTTATTTGGTTGAAGCAAAATGTTGTAATTGAATATTTTAGGTCAGCATAAAAAAAAGATTATTTTCTTCAAATGAGAAAAGCAAATAAGTCTTTTCTCGAAAAATCTTGTTTGTTGTCTAATCTTTGGTAATCGCCCCCCAGTGGCACAGCGGTATGTCTGCGGACTTAAAACGCTAGAAATTGGGTTTCGATACCCGTGGTGGGCAGAGCACAGATAGCCCATTGTGTAGCTTTGTGCTTAACTTCAAACAAACTAAATCTTTGGTAATCTAATTATCTTATATACGGTAACCCTGATTATTCAGGCACATTATTCTCCAAAACCAATGAACCTGTCTCTTTAGGGCCGTGAAACATGCAATAATCAGAGGGAAATATTGTGTACTATAGTTGAAAGTGGCCTAAAGTATTGCAAGAACTAAAATAAAAAAATGTAGATAAAACATACTTTTACAATAATTATCATCGTACCTAAGATACAGGTATCCAACTATCAAATAACGCCCATATCATTTAGTTAGCATCTCAAGTTTTTATAATACATTTTATATAAAGTCAAAGACAAAATCAAGTACCTAGTCACGTTACTCACGTCAACAATTAAGAACACTAAAAATAACTTTAAATTATTTATGAAAAGTAGCTGATTTAAACTAGTGCTTGTTCGTTTGAAAAATTTGCACACAGCTAAACAAAGACCATCTGTGCTTAGCGATTACTGCCAATTCTGATCAAATATCTTTACACGTTTATAACGCACACACTGCCCCAAATGTAGATCGCGCTTTTTCGCGTAAATG